GATGAGGACAATAGTCCGAATAATGTAAATAATGTACATAATACCTAATCTCAGAAATATAGACACAGTGGATAAAGGCGTTGGTTAGATCCAGTGACAGGACCCAAAGAGTGTGAGTTCAATACCTAGTTAAGGCAATGGAGAACTTGCAGAGGGGAATTAACAGGAGATAATTGACATCCATTAAATATGAACAGTCTACCCCAGTGAGCGAAATAAAGAGTTTAGTTTGACATTCTAACCACCTGAAAACGACCGGAGCGTACAACGGCCGAAACGTTGTAATAAATATGGCGACAAAGATGAGGACAATAGTCCGAATAATGTAAATAGTGGGAAAAAATGGTTTGTCAACATCGTTGAGTGCACTGAAAGGTCATTCAAATTTAGAATATTATAATGTTAATGGTGTGGTTACGATTTATAAAGATTCTCTGATGATAACGATGGAATAATTGGTAAAAGTATAAATGATTTTGATGCTGATGAGTAAAGACATTAATAACTATCAATGATTTGTAAAAATAAAAGACGACCCTATAATGAATTAACGATGGATTCGTGTGACACTTAATGATTCAAAAATTAGAAAGACTGATGTTGATTGCAGATGAATTGTACATACTCTGTCACTCTCTTCTTGGCGATGACAACAATCTGGAGGGCAGCCACTAAAAAGAAAAAAAGAAGAAATATCAAATTAAGCAAAATTAATTACAATCATTTAAATTTTGTGACAAAAGTAGGGGGTCCAGGGTTGGGCTATACGAATGGATTTGAGTTACATTTGAAAGCCCATTTACTTTTTGAACTGACTTTCTTTTAATTAGTGGGCGAAATTATCACATTTATAAAAAAATAAAAAATAAAAAAAAAAAAACACTCAAAAACGCATAATTAGAAAAATTCAAAAATTGAGTCGGTTTTTGATTGTTTTTTTTTACGGTTTATCAACCTTTTGTCCTTTTGGGAGATAAATAATGATTTTCTGATACAGGTTTTACTATTTAACCCATTGCTGAGGAAGAAGAGGCGGATTATATAACCCAGTCTTTCATGCTATTTACCCATAGCTGGAGGGAGAAGAAGATTCATGCCTTTCCCAAGGGCATTATCACGTCAGTAAATTATACTAGTATACCATTATACCATTAGCATGACGTATAAATCCAGTGGAACATTCTAATGTATGTGAACTTCAAGATTTTTCATTTCATTTAGAATATTCCGTACTTGACGGCATTACTCCGAATAATGTAAATAGTGTACATAATACATTATCGCAGAAATATAGACAAATACTGAAAGGCCGAAACGTTGTAATAAATATGGCGACAAAGATGAGGACAATAGTCCGAATAATGTAAATAAGGTAACTGTACTGTTTTGCTCAATTGTAATAATTGCTTGATTTATATTTTGTTTTCTTACCTTTGGATATAATAAAGTTTTTATAGGCCCGTGTTCTTTTTTTCCTGTTATTATACTTTTAATTGTAATCATGGCTTGTTTAACCAAAATAATACGCCATAAATATAGCCTAGACTGTACCATTTACTAATAATTTTACTGATTTTACTAATTACTAATTTTTTCTTGATTTTCCCTGCTGAAATTGGGGTGCCTCTTATACACACATGCGTCTTATATGCCGTCAAATACGGTAGTTACCGTGTGTTTAAAGTTGGATTTAGCAATTAAAAACACATTTATCGGAGACTAGCAGCATGGCCCGGCGTTGCCCGTGCTTGATTCAAAAATCGTACGACTCATAGAGCAATCGCTATCACTTGACTTAAAATATTTTTGCCCTTCCTTGCCTTTAAAGGAGAGCCCTTTTCCGTGCTGATGTTGCTACATGCCTTACTTCTTGCCTATCTCACACTGTGAATTTTTTCTAAGCTCTATACTAAACATTAAATCTGTTACGAAAAAAGAACTAAACAAAATGAACACAAAACGATCAGCTTTAAAAAAGGACTCGTAACTGGAAAAACCGAATGAAAAAAGAATGTTAACAATAATTACTTTTTCACACCCAACCCAGTTCTGCGGAATCAGAATCAACGTTGAGTTTAAGCAAGCGAATGAGCCAATTGGAGTAAAGTGCCATGCAGATTTAAATTTTTCCCACTTCTGACGAATGCAGCTATCGATTTTTTTTGCATGCTAGCATGCTAGTTAACATTCGTGTCAGTCAGCTGTTGGCTCTAATGCTGGCCAACAGAATCTTCCTGCCTATTTGTGGCAGCCAACTATAGGCTTTCACTCTGGCCAGTAGAAAATGGCCTCAAACTACATGAAAACTGCCGTAGAAGCATGAAAAAATCGATTATTTCTACTATCGATGGGAGTTGGGAAATGCAACGTCGGTCTTGGCCTTCCCGCTAACTTGGAGCATGTGCATGTAAATTTTGGTGCAAATCCGTCGAAAATTGCGACCGTGCATTTGTTACACACACGCACACATCCTGCCTTTTATAGATAGAGATACTTCTTATATGCCGTCAAATACGGTATTTACCGCGTGTTTAAAGTTGGATTTAGCAATTAAAAACACATTTATCGGAGATGAATGGGTGACGGGTGCAACATTATACCGTATGTGAAATTCAGTAACTTTTATTTTAATTCAGTTATCTTTACGCCGTAAGGAAAGCTGTGTTTTGTAGATTTTTGTACTGATATTACGTGAGTTGACAGACAGAGGAGTTATTTCGCTCTCTTATCTAAAACCGTTTATTCAAATCATGCTTGCAAGCAGATAACAAGGCTTAGCCTATGCAAACGCTACCAAAGACGAACATCAAACTGATCTAGAAAAGGTTGTAATAAATGTTAAAAGTGTTTAAACATTTTTAAAATTGGAGATCGATGTATTTGTCCAGTGGCCGATTAATTATAGATATTCTTTAGTTTTTTTTCTTTCTTTTAGTCCTGGATATCAGTCGATTTGAGGTCATTTTATTAAATTTATTTGATTGATGCAATTTTTTTGTTCTTCTTCATGTACCGTGTCGCCGCAGGACTAGGCGATCACGGCTCTCCACAACTTCCTGTTCCTTGTAGCTCTTAATAAACCTTCTCTTTTTCTACTTTTTTTCTAAACCCTTATGCGTGTGCAGGTATATTTTTATTTATGGGTACACGCTTGTATCTTGTGTGACTGCGTGTTTGCACGCGCGTATGGGTTTATGCGTGGACAGTGTGTATGTGTGTGTGAGCATGTATCTCTGCGTGTGTACGCCTATGTATGTGTGTACGAGTGGTTTAATAGGTGTGTGGATGGGTGTGTGCTTGTAAGCATGTGTCTATGTATGTGTAAACGTGTATGTATACCTTTATCTATGTGTAACTGTGTGTGTATGAGTGAGTGTTTATAGTAATTTTTCAAGCATAGCTCAGATGTGACTCAAGGCCTAAAGTATGGGGCACTCAGTGAGGATCGAATGCGTGTATGTGTGTGTCTGCATGCGTAATCCTGTGTATGTTTATCTGAGCTCTTTGTGCGCGTTTATATGTGTGCGTCTACACGTGCATGTATGTGTGTGTGTGCGTGCGTTCGTGAATGTGTGTGTGCGCGCGCTGGAAAAAGGTTCCTGACACTCTCTTCTAATCTAATGTGTCTTAGCCCCCAAAGAATTCGCCCGCTGAAGACGATGTCTTTTAGTCAGATGTCGAGAAGAGGGTTGAGGATGATACAGCTGCTCGGCCATGACAGTTCAGATGTAGGCTTGGTCCTGGCAGGTGAAGACTTTCTAAGAACTGTATATGGCATCTGTGAACTGGTTATCTACTCAAAACGGCAAGGTCCTGCTTTTTAGGGAGATTTCTTTTCCATCCAAAGCTAAAAAAAAAAAAGATTTTTCCACCTATCCTAATTTAGACATATCGATTGACAGAATAATATTTATTCAAAGAACAGAGCACCAAGAAATTTTAAAGACTCCAAAATTTAAGTAGGATTTCGAAAACCATAATTAATATGGAAATTATTATATTCTTAGATTTCTTTTCTAACCGATAATTAAAGATATTTGGCCTTTTCACTCAGTAAAGGTCTTCTTCATTCCTGATAATGACAATCCTTTTCTTCCTGATTTGAAAGAAATTAAACCTTGGAAATGACTTTACTACACAAATGTATTGCAAATTATATCGTTTAGGATTTAATAAATAAACATATCAAAACTTTTATTCACTCTCATGATTACATTTACAGTGACATTGTAAATACGAAAAGCAGCTATAGAAATTAAATGGGAAATATTTAATTATAATCTATCACAAATGATTTTTAATATAAAAAATGAATTGGAAATTATTTTTAATATAAAAATGCATTGTAAATAGGAGTAAATAGGTCTGCCTATCGTCTGCTTCGTACTCCTCACCCGTGTTTTAAACTAGGAGTAGAGATTTATCCTCTGTTTCCTATTTAGGATTGGGTTTCCGATTCTTTCTAATTTCTACTTCAGCTCTATAATACTAACGCATGTCCTTTCCTACGTTAATATAACTCTACAAAGTAAACCTCTACCTTAAGTGGCTCTTGGACATTTTATTTGATGAATATTAGTAAGAAAATTATTTTTACTATAAAAATATATTGCAAATAATTTTTACTATGAAAAATGCATTGCAAATGATTTTTACTATAAAATGCATTACAAATGATTTTTACTATAAAAATGCATTACAAATGATTTTTACTATAAAAATGTATGGCAAATGATTTTTACTATAAAAATGCATTGTAAATGATTTTTACTATAAAAATACATTGCAAATGATTTTTACTATAAAAATGCATTACAAATGATTTTTACTATAAAAATGCATATCAAATGATTTTTACTATAAAAATGCATTGTAAATGATTTTTACTATAAAAATACATTGTAAATGATTTTTACTATAAAAATGCATTGCAAATAATTTTTGCTATAAAAATGCATTACAAATGATTTTTACTATAAAAATGCATTACAAATGATTTTTACTATAAAAATGCATTACAAATGATTTTTACTATAAAAATGTATTGCAAATGATTTTTACTATAAAAATGCATATCAAATGATTTTTACTATAAAAATGTATTGCAAATGATTTTTACTATAAAAATGCATATCAAATGATTTTTACTATAAAAATGTATTGCAAATGATTTTTACTATAAAAATGAATTGCAAATGATTTTTATTATAAAGATACATTGTAAATGATTTTTACTATGAAAATGCATTACAAATGATTTTTACTCTAAAAACGCATTGAAATTAATTTTTACAATAAAAATGTATTGTAAATTATCATTACTGTTTTTTTTTTTAATGTCATGTTCTTTCAGGAGATCATGACTATATATTCCTTTTCTTCTTTACGAATTACCATGATTTCTTGTTATAAAATAGCAGAGGAGATTCGATTTTTCGATGTTTTCTCCTCGGTTAGGAATAGCTACACAGCCCAGTCTACCCTGTTATTTTAGCCACAGACGCATTTATTAAAAAATACATTTTAAATAAATCCTGACAACTTCTTGCACCTGTTGTATTAATATCACAAACTTCCTGAATTCTTACCGCTTTGTGACCCAGATGAGTATTTCCGTTCCTAAATGACCGGAAATCAATAAGTATGTCTCTCAAACAACACATCTGATTAC